TTTAGATATTTAAAGATGGTTGTCTTTCTCATCTTTACATACCCAGCTCCTTCAACCATTCCTCATAAGGCTGGGTTTCTAGACCTTTGATCATTTGGTTGCCTTCCTATGCACATGTTCCAGCTTGCCATTATCTTTCTTAAATTGTGCCCAGAACTGGACACAATACTTTAGATGTGGTCTTACCAAGGCAGAATAAAGTGGTAATATTGCTTCCCTTGATCTGGACACTATACTTCTGCTGATAACTGGGTTATTTTGTCTTATGCCTGGTCTTATGAATCATAGTACCAGCACATGGCCTCTCCACTTGCACAGAGCTAGCCCTGGAAGTGCTGCTGTTGAGAGCAGCAAAGCAACAGGTCCAAGAACACACCATCTTTAGCTCTAACAGTTTTCGGTTGCCTGGCACAACCCTGTGCTGGCATCAGCTAAAAGTGACTTCCCCAAGGACATTCCTCTGCTTGATTTCCAGGGATAGGATGCTGGAGTATTTGGAACAGAGCAAACCACTACCTGTGCATATTGTGGATTCTTAGGTTTGCTTTACACTGTTCATTATGAATTGTGTTGCAGAAGGTATTGGTGCTGTGCTTGTTAGAAAGAAGTTTTTTGTTCCTGCGGTACAAGATGTCATTGCTCATAGACAATAGGGCTTCTGTTTTTTAAGGGTATGTTTGAATTTGCTTACAAAGGATATTGTGTAGCCTGCGGTATTGTGTCGCCTGGTTTCATGGTTGCAACTGTGATCAATGCTGGTCTCTTGTGCCAAGCAAAGAGTCAGCCATATATTCTGATGTTCTTGTATACCTCCTAGTTAACAGCAAGTAATAGGTGTTTCCTTCATGACGACAGATGGCCAATCATGCTAGCCCTTGTCTAAAGCCCATTTTAGAAAGTAAGTGAAAGAGGCAGTTTGTGATGTTTCAGTTTAAGAGTTTATTTTTTAAAGCAATTTGCTAGCAAGAAGCAATCTCTGACATGGACTGCATATTTCTGTGACTTTTGTAGTCTTGATTCTTTTGTAGGGTTAGCATTAACTGGGCATATGATCACCTTCTTCTTGTAAATTTTGTGTGTGTGTGTGTACACCCACACCAAGTGTCTGCAGTACTTTCCTCTTGTAAAGAAGCAGACTCTAATGTACTAGAGGTGAAGAATGTGAATCCTTATGTGTTCCTTTGTCTGGAACTTCAGCTGCTCTAACTGTAGGCTTTCTTTCTTCCAGAATCTGCATTCTTTGAACACTCTTCTGTTCTGAAGATCAGCCCTGGGTCATCACTCTTCTTCTGTCACTCCTAAATGTTAAGCTTCAACCACGTTGCAGCCTGAGCCCTAGAACTCATGCCCCTTCCCTAGTTCTAGTCAGTAGTAGTGGCATACTCACTGTAGCAAGAGCTATTGCTAGAAGCTGCTCTTTTGTTACTGAATTAGCTTTTTTTAATAAACTTGTTTTCTGTCTTGATTTAGTTGATTGTACTGCATGTAAGCTGTTCTGCAAGCCTTTTCTGTGAAGACTGGGTACAAACATTCTAAATAACACCATCACTACCATCTAGTCTTCTTAAGCTGTTGGTCTGTTGGTGCTGAAGGCTGGCCCATCTTCCTCTCTTATGTACTTTACTGTCTTTGGGGTGACAGTATGTTGCATACTGTGGGGGTTGAAGGCAGTGGTAATGCCAGCAATGTTTTCGACGTGTTGAAGGATGTCATTGGCTGCTGGCAAACATGTCTGGCGGCTTGGTTGGCACAGAACTCTATAATATGGGCCCATCAATATTTGGCTCAAGTGGGTGGGAGGAAAATGCCTGTTATGTTCACGCCTGTATTGTGGCAGAACTGAGACTGTGGTTGCAGCTGACTGCGCTCAGTACTGCAGAACCAGGGCAATGCTCAGCAACCTTTCCGCCTTCTATGTAGATTGCCTGTGCCCTCTACGCCATAGTGGAGAGGGCTAGGTCTTTGCTTGAATGAACAGATGATGCTCTGGTTGCTATGGTTCCTGTTGCTTGGTGGCAATTGGCTGTGCTGTTCAGGAGATCAAGATATTGGGTGCTTTGGACAGGACTGAAAGGAAAGCAACCCAGAATGCCTTCCAGGAGGTGAGGAGTGGTAGTCACTGCAGAGTCAGCAGCCATACAGTCCCTCTTTGGCCCATTGGGGTAGGTCATTGGATTATGAGGCCATATCCTGAGTGTGCACAGTGTCATCATGTTGGTCTCCATTCACTTCAGTTTGATGGAGCAAGAAGTATGTCTCAAATAACTGCATCTCCTGCAATTCCAGGGAGAGAGATTGTATAGGAACACGGGGTGGGTTTTTTGTGTTCACTAACCTGGAGTGGCCTCATGTACTCATGCTATCTTTAATTGTTGATATCTGCTGGAACTCCTCTTCTCACTTAGTCTCTGGGACTTTGAGAATTCAGCTTGCTGTTATTTACATAGTGCTGTCAAGGAGACAAACTGCTATTTTCTTACTCTTCAAAAGCTCAGAGGAGGCCTGGAAGGAGGAAGCACTGCACCAGGGACTCTGAGCTTGTGGCAGTTGCTGCTGCTACTTAAGCATCAAAACCTGATATGTCACATTCTCATTCATGCTCCTTTAATAAAGCAAACCCAGTGCCAATCTGCTTGAGAGGTCAGAGAAAAGAAGTGAATCCTGTTTTGGGTCTCTGGTTAAGGCTTAGGGTGTCAATAGTGTTGTCTCATCAGTTGAACTACATTAGTATACCATGTGCTGTGGTGTTCATTAGGCGAGTTCTTTCCCAGCAGTGATCCTTTGCTGGCGAGACCTCACTCTGTTGCACTGAAAGTGCCGTGCATGCTGGGCTGCTTACAAGATATAATGTTACAAACCTTGCCATTTCTATTGGCCCAAGAATAGCACAGTATTTCAGGCTTTCTTACGACACTCCATTCTGCATCCATTTCTTTAGTCGCTGGATTGGACGCTGTATGCCAACTCCTTATGGTGCTGAACCCATAAAGCTGGTCTGAGGCTTGAGAAACCGTTATTGCCACTTTTAAAGTGCTCGTTTGAAAGATCCCTACAATGCCCTTGCCTCCATTGTCTAGAGGAAGGGGCATATGCATGCTGTTACTCCATTTTGGCAAGTATAAGTGGGATGGCTGAGCTTGCACTTCGCTAATGAGTAGATCAATGTGGGGATTGATGGTTGTCAAACATAGTCTCATATCGTTATTGATACATAGCTGGCTACTGTATTTATACTGTCTTCATAGTAATTATTGCTGAAAAACCTGTCTCGCAAATATATGCACTATCAAATGGCAGCAGCACAGATTTTGCTTCATTGGCAAACTCAGGATATTCAACAGTAGCTGAGTAATTTTGGTAACCTGAACCCAAAATTCAGATAGCCTCACTTCCAAAAATGTATCTTTGAGAGCCCAATGAGTTGTTCCTTTTGCACAAAGACAGGTTTGTGACATGAGTTGCAAATAGGTTTTGCACCCATTCAAACTTCTCTGTTTCTTCAGCAGAAAAGTAGTGGAGAAATCAAACCACCCTTGGCTTCACTTTTAACTTACTGGCAGTCTGCCACAAGGTACAGGGAGTTGTTTTGAGTGACTGCTATAGCTCGCCTCTGATGGCCAGATGCACAGGTTTTCTGAGTGAGAGACAGAAAAGAATTTACTAGCTATGTAGGGAAGAATTTACTGTCTGTGTAAAGAAAGTGAACTTCAGGGCTCGTTCACACTTCCATTTGCCCCTCTGCTTCCTCTGGGGAAACCCTCTCGTGGCCACTACATTGGAGCAGATGTCAGTTGAGTTTTCTGCAGATTGACGTTTGCTCCGACTCAGCAGTGAAGAGTGAGTTCTCCCAGAGAAAGTGGTAGGGCAAATGCAAAACCGCCTGGACACATGCTTAGAAAGCATGGGACAAAGTGAAAACCTTTCAGACCTGTGCTTTCTAGGCATTGGACAAGTGTGGAGTAGGAAACAGGAAACAGCCACTACCAAGATGGACCAGACTGTTATTCCCATATGTAAAATACAGAAATAAAAGGGTTTGCTTGGTGGGGAATATTGCATTGTGTGTTCAGCAAAGTGGCACTGAAAACTGGGTTCACCTAGATGTGACAGCACCATGATGAACAGATATTAAGCATGGGGTGGGGTGGAGGTGATTGTAATGTATTATAGAAACAGGTAATAGAAAGGGGGTTATGAATCTTCTGTTTCAGAATTGCCACCCAAATACTTTTCTCTCGTCATGTTTTGGAACCCAACTTAAAAATAAGCAGCTAGGGCTGAGGAAGTGTTCAGCAACTTCTTCCATTTCCCTGCTTTCCTCATTAAATTGCTGCTCCCTTATATTTGTTCTCTACCATTCCTAGTTCTAAAACATGAGGCTGCTGCTTTCACATCTAGTTAGCTCTTCATTGTGGAAGGATATTATTACAGCACTGAAGGTTTGAAATACAGTCATACCTCGGGTTGAAGTAGCTTCGGGATAAGTATTTTCGGGTTGCGAACGGAGCGCGTTCCTTCTGGGTTTCACAGCTTGTGCATGCGCAGACGATCAAAATGACATCACACGCATGCGCAGAAGCGACGAATCGCCACATGCGCAGATGCGGATTGCATTCGCTTCTGGATGCGAACAGGGCTCTGGAATGGATCCCGTTCACATCCAGAGATACCACTGTAGTAATTAACACTTTCTGTTCACTGACTTAGAATACTCTTATCCTGAATTTCTTCTGTTGAGGGCAATTGAGACTTTTACCAGTCCCCAACTGCTGTGTTGTACTTGATTGCATGGTTATCTGTAGTATCGTCCCCAATCAACCATATCTGCCCTCTTCTGATCTAAAGAACCGGAGAGCAGGGGTGTTACTCTTTTTTGTAATATGGAGAGAGTTAACATTTCATGAACCAGGTACCCAACAGTAAGGGATCTGGATTTGGCTTTTTACTGTCTTACAAGCATATATAAAATAGTGGCTAAGTTGCTATTTTCTACCTTCTAGGCACTCCACCAGTTGTATTATGACCCCAACATTGAAAACAAGAATCTGGCTCAGAAATGGTTGATGCAAGCTCAAGTCTCACCACAAGCCTGGCACTTCAGTTGGCTACTTCTCGATATGGACAAGGTGCCTGAGATCCAGTACTTTGGGGCCAGTGCCCTCCACATCAAGATTTCACGCTACTGGAATGACATCCCAGCTGACCAGTATGAAAGCCTCAAGTCACAGCTCTTCAGCCAAATAACCCGTTTTGCTAGTGGTTCCAAGATTGTGCTGACCCGGCTTTGTGTGGCACTGGCTTCGTTAGCACTAAACATGATGCCAGAGGCCTGGCCATGTGCTGTTGCTGACATGGTGCGCATGTTTCAGGCAGAGGACTCTAATGTTGATGGGCGAGCACGCTGCCTGGCACTCTTAGAGCTGCTGACTGTTCTGCCTGAGGAGTTCCAAACCAGCCGCCTGCCTCAGTACCGTAAGGGGCAGGTGCGTAGCGTCTTGGCACAGGAGTGCAGTTCTGTCTTCCCCCTGCTAGAGCAATTACTACAGCAACAAGACTCTCCCAGCTTCATTAAGCAGAAGGTGTTGAAGTGTTTCTCGAGCTGGGTGCAGTTAGAGATTCCCCTGATGGAGTGTGAGAACTTGATCCAGGCAGCCTTCACCTCTTTGCGCGATCCAGAACTCTTTGATACAGCTGTGGAGGCCATTGTCAATGCCATTTCCCAGCCTGATGCTCAGAGGTAAGTGTTGGTTCCAAATTGTGGGTCAGTTGTGGTTACAGTTGTGCAGCCTCCCCTGTAAGCTGACTGTTTCCACATGCAGCAATCAAGGGGAGAACCTGTATTGACAGAACTTTCAATCAGCTTTCTCAACCACACTCTGATTCCAACAAAGAGGTTATAGAGTGCGCTTGTTTAGAGTTTCATATCCATGGACAGTACATAAATTCCGCAGGTCTTCTTGAAGATGGGGGGCAAGGGAGGAGATTGAGGAACTCTTGAATTGGCGCAACCATTGGCAAGCAAGCATCCACCTTTTGTGGACTTTTTTAGTTACTAAGTATCAGCCAATAAAAACAGAATTACCTAGTGCTGAAATTAAGCTAAAACCAACCAATAAGAACAGAATTACCAGAACTGAAATTAAGCTAAAACTAGTATTATTAACTTTTAAATAATCGCGTGGTTGATTCTTGTGAGACAGAATTCTACCAAGCTTCAAAAGAAACATTCTGTAGCCACAGCCAATCTACAAGAGCATCTGTTGGTTCTGTTCTAATTTCAACTAGGGGAGGATCTCGTAAGCTTCAAGAGAGTTCATGGAGTGGCCAGACAGCTCAGCTTTGGGCCCCTACCCATTAGAGTCTTGCATTGTGTCTTCATCCAGGTCTTAAATCACCTCTCTGTTAATTCATTTGCTGTGGCTGTTGGTGGTAGTTCTTTGTCTTGTGTGATATGAAAGGTAGTAATGAATGGAGGAATTCACCTTTTTTCTGAAGAGGTTCACTGGTGTGCATTAATTCAGTAACCCCTCTGGGCACAGTATGGAATCTAAGTGAGTAGGGGAGTTGTCCAGGACTATTGGTCTGTTTCAAAATCTGTTAATGACTAGCAGAGCTAGAATCTGTTGTGACTACATTGGTGTGGTTCTGGGTGCAAACATAACTGGGAAGTTTCTCTCAGCAGACAGGGCCTGTAATATAGTTTGCTTCCTATCTCCTTTCATCTCCTCTCTTTCCTTCCCTACTCCCAACACCCCTCCTTCCCTGACTGTATTTGTTCATAGTACAGATTACATCCTTGATGTCTGGGAGCTAGAGGCCTTGCCCACAGGCTCATCAATAAAGCTAGGTTTTTTTTGTTGTTTTGTTTTTAAGGAAATGAGTGCTGTGGTTCTTCAGGTGGCAGAACTATTCATGACAACAGATATTATAGGCTTGGAAATGTATAACATGCTCAATTTAGATAAAAGAAAATTATAGGGAACATGATACCAGTGTTCAAATATCTAAAAGGATGGCAGAGTAAACCACTATTTACCAGTGCTGCTGGAAAAAAGAGAAACATTGGCCTTAAGTGGTAATAGAATAGACTTGGGTTAGATTTCAAAAATACATTTTTCATAAGAATAAAGGTGCAATAGAACAAACTCCTCAGGGTTGAAATAGAGCAGGAGTCGGGACCTTAAACTCGGAGGCCAAATGAGACCCTCCAGGTCTCTTTCTGGCCCTCAAGATGCTGCCCAGGCCAGGCCCCTTCCCCAGGCCACACCTCTCACCAGCTGTACGCCACTCCTTCCTCAAGTGCTTTTTTGGGGCTGAAATGTGTCCTTGAACTGTGATTGATAATGTCTCTTACCTGGATGGGGAATGGAGAAATAGGTATGGATGTGTAAAAACCTGACTTTTGCTTAGCTGGAATGTGGTCTATTATACCAAGTCACAGCTGTTGCTTTGTTCTCTTTTGCTACTGGCACGCAACCCTTAGAATGTTGCCCATGAGAGATATGGCCTTTGGGCTGAAGAGGTTTTCCCATCCCTGCTGTAATGTCTCATTCTATGCAGTTCTTATGAGAGAGTTGGATGAGCATTGGCTGTGTGTACATGAGTTTAGATCTTAGAATGGTGATCCAATTTAGCCATACTCTTAATAGACCCATTGACATCAGTGGACAAGCCCATTGATATCAGTGGGTTTACTCAAATGAGTATGGCTAACATTGGATAATCACCTTTATAGTCTCTTGCATTTTCTTAGTGGTTGCCAAATTAGAATTATAAGGTCAGGTGTATAGTAAAGTAATTATTTCACTTGTATTCAAGTGTGTTGTGACACTGGGCCATATTCAATTAAACTGTTGCTCCAGCAGGAGCCAGTGCAACGAGCACAATGGGATTTCTCCCTTCTCCCTCCCCCCATCATATACCCCTGTGCCATCCCCAGATCTACTCCAAAGGGTTAGAGGAACCCCCACAATGGGGCGGGGGAGGGGAGATGGTTTGTCAGACAAGCATAAATGCTTGTGCTGATGGAACAATTCCCTTAGCACTAAGTTGATTGCAACCTATTCAAAATGGACCAGAAAGGGAATTTGTTAATCCTCTTTAGCAGTAATATTAAATTCTGAATTATGCTTACTGCTACAACCCACCATTTATTTAAACTCAATCTGCTGAATGACTCAAAAACCACTAGCAAGGACTAATTTAGATGTGGCAAGGAATCTATGTCCTAGTTACATGACTTGAGGTGGTTCAGCCACTACTAGCTACACCAAAGTGGTACATACAGAAAGACAAATACCCCCAACAACCTTATGCTTACCATGAGGAACCAGCAATGTCTTGCTGGTCCTGATTATGGAGATCACACATACACAGATGTAGTTGCTGTGTAATGACAACAGGGAGCATTCTTTAGTACCAGGAAAAATATACAAGGTAGTCATATCACTCTCATTTCATTGAAATCACTTAGGAGGTATCTACACATTTTGCTCACAGAGTCTAGGGCACCTGCCCAGTGGCGCCACTGGAAGCCTTCATAGGTGCCATGTTGCCTGTAGCAACCACTACATGAGAGAGGATCTTTTTGTGGTGGCTCTGCACTTCTGGAATATTTCCTTGTCATGGTTCATAAATCATCAACCCTATAAGCAATTAGGAGAGCACTAAAAGGCAATCTGTTCTCTCTGGCCTTTGCTTAAGACTGTGTTTTGCTTCATGCTATAGCTGGTGATTTTAGACTGTATTTTATGATTTCATAGAATCATACAAGTGTAGAGTTAGAAGGCACCCTGAAGATCATCTAGTCCAACCCCTGCAATCCAGGAATCTCAGCTGAAGCATCCATGACATATGACCATCCAGCTTCTGCTTAAAAACCTTCAGTGAAGGAAAGTCTACCACCTTCCAAGGGAGTCTGTTTAGCTTTGGGTTGGCTGAATATTCATTATTTTTTAACTAGACTGGCTTTTCTGAAGCATTCTTATCATGGTTGCATTGTGCCTTGAGAGGGTTTTTGTCCTTAAAAGTGGCCTAAAAATATTATAATTCTCCCTGTCACCCGCCCCCCAAATAAGAGCTTAAGCAAGGTCAAAAGAAACCTAAAACACATCACTAGCAAATATACCGTAACTATGCATTTCAGGAATCAGAATACAGGCCACGGAATAGCACTGGCACTCACTCTCAGTCGGTCAGTCTTTAATGTTTTAACCATAGGTTACAACAGAAGCACCCTCTACCTTAGGGAATAAGTAAGCTTGTGTGTAGAAGCCCAAAATGATAAACACTGGGTGCCATTAGGTGGCCACAAGGAAAAATGTGACATGAAAGACTAGTTTGAGAGTGGGTGACAGCAGGGCAAGATAGTGGTTGTATAAACTTTGTAGGGAGGTTGTGTGTGTGCATGCAGTGCCATTGTTTTCACTAGAGATCAGTGAGGAATGAGAGGAAGTTGAATAGCAATATGATTCTGGCTGGATCAACAGGATTAAGCTCTGTTTCTCCTTTCAGTCTCTGTTGCTCTTAAGAATCTTCCTTGACCTCTCTGAGTGTGCTGCTGCCCCCTCCCCCCAAAGCATTGTCTGTGGATGCTTGCTGGCAGCCTTGGTGCACATGCTTTTCTGTTGTCGGCAACCACTGGAGCTGGCGCACTTCCCCTCCTCCATCCACTTCAGTTTTTGCACACAGCAATGCAGAACTGGATTCATTTGAGTTGCCCCTCAGGGCATAAATGCTTCCTTCTTCCTCACCTCCTTCCTACGTTTGCAGCTTATTGAGCAGCCTGATCTCTCAACCCCTGGCTTCTAAACAGCAGTGACGTGACCACATACTTTTCCCTTTGCAGGATATTATATGCCTAGTGACTGTGGGTAGATGGGCATCTGTCTACTCGCTTAGGCTGCTTTCAAACCAAAACCTGGCATTCTGTGATATGTCCCAAGTAAATTGATATGACGGTGGTCCTAATTGTCCTGAGAGCTTAAAAAATGATAGAGGAATTGGGTCTCCAGTGCAGAACTCAGCCTTGAAGGTGATGTTAGCATATGGATGGCCTTTGAACTGTTTAGTGCTGCATGCATGCACATTGGTGTGTTCTTCCACCTGTATCTATGAGCTGCATGTGCGGTGGGGGCAGGCATGCGAGTGCAGAATAGCTGTGTCTCCAGATAATATGCCTCAGTAGCCAGGTAACTGACAGCTGGCCGATTAGCCGCCAGCACAGCCTCTCTCTGGGGGCCATCCTTTGCTCTTCCCCTCCATTTCCTCTGTGCTTGTTGTCATGGTTACAATCACTTATTGGCAGCAGCAGGGAGATTGACAGGCATGAAATTGCTTATATGGTGCTGGAATGCTGCTGTGCAGAGGGAGGCAGTAGCTGCCTGGATGCCCCCAGGAGACCACTGTATGAGCATTGTACTTTTGATTTTAGGAAATGGATATTCAAGGGTCTTGACTCTTTCAGCCTCCCGCCTCCCCTTTACCAACAGATTCTTCAGATGGAATAAATTCTGTGAATGGCATACCGGTTTAGATTTGTATTCCATTTCAGAATACATGAAAATGTTGACTTTGTGAAATGTTGTGGGGTAATGGAACTATACAGAAGGAAGGACAAGCACCGAGCATTGTGAGTAGACGAGGGAAGCCAGAACAGGGAAACCATATCCAGATTATTTTTCCCTGAAGTTTGAGCAGAACACACTCATCCTTAAAATCTGAGTTCAGATTTTAAATTCACCTGTAGCTGGTAAATTCCAGAAGAGTAGTGATGTTGAGTTTTTGCAGCAAAAACAAAAGTCTTTTACATTTATGTATTGGTTGAGGTTTAAGGGCCATATCTCAGTGGCAGAGCATCTGCCTTGCATAAGAAGGAGATAGAGAACTTTTAAAAGACATCTGAAGGCAGCCCTGTATTGGGAAGTTTTTAATGTTTAATGTTTTACAATATTTTATATGTGCTGGAAGCCGCCCAGTGGCTGGGGTATAAATAATGAAATTATTGTTGTTATCAAGAAGGTCCCAGGTTCAATCCCTGACATTTCCAGCTAGAGCCAGAACTGTGTCCTTGCTCAAACCTTCGAGAGCTGCTGCCAGTCAGTGTAGACAGTACTGAGCTAGATGGGCCAGTGGTCTGACTTGGTATAAGGCAGTTTCCTATGTTCCTGCCTGTACAATTGGGCCTGTGCATGTCTGGGCACCCACCTCATTTATTAAGTGGTGTGTGTGGTGAGAGGGAAATGCACAGCTGCATCTCCACCAGAGTTTTTTGATCCTGGTATCTAGTATGTGCTAGATTATTATAGTATGTGCTCATTATTTTAAGTGTTTGGATAACCCTCACAAAGCAGTTTGTATAAATCATTTAAAATAACATGCTTCAATTAAAGTACAATGACAATGAACATAAACAGCAGGGGAAAAACAAAAGCCAGATAAAACCATCATTTGAGACTAAAAGACACTAAAGTGTATGGCTGAATGAAAAGATCCTCATTTGGTATGGAAAGTAAGTAGAATTAGCACCAGGCGGAGCTCCTGGGGAGAGCATTGCAGAGACAGGGCATCACAGTAGAAAAAGCCCCATTGTGCATCACCATCCATCTTGCTTCGGATGGGGGAGGGCACAAAAAGCCTCAGAGGATCTTAAAACCCTGGCTGGTTCATGTGGGAGGAAGTAGTTACTGAGGTATCTTCATCCCAAGCTGTTTAGATCTTTAAACAGCACAGTGAATTTGCTCTGGAAATCAATGCAGGAGCCAGTGCAGTTGTTTTAAGACTGGCAAGATGTGTTCCATATATCTCATCCCAAGTAGTGCAAAATATGGCAACTAGGTTACTAACTGACTTCCAAACTCTTCAAGGTCAGCCCTATATACAATACATTGCAACAATCTGAATGGGATTTTCCTGGAGCATGATTAATTGTGGTTAGCTTGGTTGTACCAGCCTAGAGTAATAAAAGGTATTTTGTTCCACTGAGGTTATTTGGGCATCCAGAAGTAAGGCTAGATCTCATAGCACCTCCAGACTGTGTATCCAATCTACTAAGGCAGGCAAGCCACCTACCAATAGAACTTGTCATGACTGAGCTTCAGGACATTGGTCCTCATGCAGCCGATTACGGGTTCCAGGCACCAATTCAGCACTTTTAAAGGCCACAGCACCAGCTGAATTAGAAGGAAAAATTATAGAGGTGGGTGTCAAGTGTGCCCTAAATTCTCAAATCTCACTCAGTAGTTTCATGTAGATCAGGAATAGAGAACACATGACCCTCCTGATATTGGTGGACTCCCAACTCCCATCAGTCCCAGCCAGTGTGTGTAATAGTCAGGGATGATGGGAGCTGTACTTCAACATCTGGAGAACCACTGGTTCCCCATTCCCAAATAGATGTTGGTATAACATAGGAAGGGCAGACTAGAGTTGTGTGGAACAACATGGCATGACTGTCATGGGTCACAGCAACAGTCCAGCACCATGACCTTCTAGAACTGATGATTCATGTTGGTATGGGATCGCCAAAGTGTGGTTCCCCTGTTCTCCCCCAGTGCAGCCAATCTAGAAGGATAGCAATGTCAATAGTATTGAAAGTCATGAGGTGTATAGTTGAATTAGCAGGGTCTCATTCCCTTGGCATAGATCACTCATAAGGGAGACTAAGACAGTTTCAGTTCCAAAACCAAGCTGGAAACTAATCTGAAATGGCCTCAGAAAATTAATGTTGCTCTGGGGAGCTCCAGCCCTTTTCAGCACCCTATTTTCTAGGTTTTAGCATGTGTCCTAAACAGTTACTCTTCTAGCATGCACTATAATCATCATCATCATCATCATCATCACCAGAATCATGCTAGAACGTAACAAAGTAGACTGAGTTGTAAAGCCTACCTCTCACAACATTGTTATCAAGGCCTCTTTCACTTGTTCAACCGCCATGAGGTATGTTCTGTCATCTGCCTACAAATCTGTATCTGTTATCCTATGTAGAAAATAACAAAGGATTCTTAAGATGGCTAGGACATGATGTTTGTTAGCGAATTTTACACTTTACATTATCTTTTGGTATGAAAAGGGATTGTTGATGGCTACCTCACTGCATCCCATGAAGTGTTACAATCATGGTTTCATCTTGCACAGACAGGACACAACTTAGTGTGAGCTGGTTCCTTTGGCATTCATCTGGGGAAAAGAATGCATCTAACTGGGTTATGTGTTCATCTGCGCTCAGCAGATATTACTGCACTTAGGCTTTATCGGGACCAGGATATGTTATATTTTGTTGTCTTGGCCTTACTGTAAAATACTTTCTCTTCCATGGTGTATACAAACCTTCTTCCTATTTCAGGTATTTCACGTAGGCTCATGTCATGAGTTACAGTGGTACCTCAGGTTAAGAACTTAATTTGTTCTGGAGGTCTATTCTTAACTTGAAACTGTTCTTAACCTGAGGTACCACTTTAGCTAATGGGGCCTCCTGCTGCCGCTGCGCTGCCACCACATGATTTCTGTTCTCATCCTGAAGCAAAGTTCTTAACCCGAGGTACTATTTCTGGGTTAGCGGAGTCTGTAACCTGAAGCGTCTGTAACCTGAAGCATCTGTAATCTAAGGTACCACTGTATTAGTCTTTAAAGTGCTACAGGACTCTTCATCATGAAAGTTCTAGGTATGTTCTCTCAGCAGTGTTTGTTAGCTTACAAGACCTGTAGATCAGGAATTTTGAAAGGTTTGTTGTGGAAGAGAAGGCCATTTAATGTAAGTTATCAATATTCTGTGCCAGGAAGAATCATTTAAGAGGTATAGAAAATCTCATATCTGAAAAATTTCACTTCCAAGGGGCAAAATGGGTATTGATGTGTTGGTTAATGTGACAGTAGTTTGCATGCGACAAGCCTAGAGATAACAAAATACACTCTTTACAGTTGGCTTGGGTTTCCTGACTGATGTAGGCACTTTCAGAGTTGTGGGGGAGAGGTCTGTGTAAGATGCCCTTGGTGTTTGGGGCTTTTATATTTAGATAAAAGACAAGAAGAGGATGATAGAGCTTCAAAAAAATCATGAGTTGTGTGGTGGAGAATTTTTTTCTTACTCCCAACACTCAGGGTCACTCACTATTGATTGGCAAATTGAGGATAGACAAAAAGAAAATAGTTCTTCACACAGTGCACAACTAACTTGTGGAATTCACTGGTGCAAGAGATAAGCCACCTTCATGGGGGGAAATGGTCTATGAAAGGTCGGTAGCAATAGTATTTAACAGAAACTCCAGGTTCACAGATTATATAACTCCGAGTACAGTTGCTGCAGAGCAAATTGTAGGACAGGACTGTTACCTTCAACCATTGCTTACGAGCTTCCTGAAGCATCTGGTTGGGCAACATGGGAAATGGAAGGCTGGGCAAAACTGCTATCTGGCTTGATTCAGCAGGAGTCATCTTACATTTGTGATTGAAGGTTCATTATTTTAGGAGGCTATATAGGCATAAAGCCTCCCATCTCCTCTCTCCCTTGGCAGGTATGTGAATACTCTTCTGAAGCTCATCCCACCTGTTCTGGGACTCCAGGAACAACTACGTCAAGCAGTTCAGAGCAGGGATATGGAGACATCTCATGGGATCTGCCGCATTGCTGTTGCCCTGGGGGAGAATCATTCCCGGTGAGGAGCATGGTGATGGAATCTGATAGCAATGATCAGTAGAAAGTGGAGCTATTTTGGGGAGTGTTCCCTCTGCCCTACCATAGCTGTCAACTGTCCCCTTTTTGGCGGGAAAGTCCCTTATCCCAGCGTGGTGTCCCACTGCTATCTGTTATTGATGATGTCCGTTAAATTTCCTGGGTTTCAAAGGAAGCAGCTCCTCTCCCTGCTGACCGGGGAGGAGGTAGGCTCCAACTGTGTTGCTTGGCTGCGTTGCTCACCCAATAAGGAGTCTAAGAATGACTGGGGGGTGGAGCTTGCATGCCTTGTGGTGTGTTGCCTGGGGACTCGCCTTTGCTCAGTGCTTCCCAGCGGAGAGGTGACGGTGGTTTTCCTGGCTGCATCCCCTTTGCCAGGTTGCTGCGCTGTGGGAACCACCTCTTGAGGCTTCATTTAGCTGTTGGCTGGGCTTTCTGCCTTTGGCTCAGAGGGGCTCAGAAGTTGAACATACCTGTGCTGGGAAAATCCCTTATTTTGGCTGCTGATCCCTTATTTTTGAGGCTGCTGGTCCCTTATTTTCAAATCTGTAAGTTGACAGCTATGTGCCCTACTAGGTTTCTTTGTAGCTAAGCAGCCCATAAGTCTCCCAAACTTCATTCTAAAGCAGCTCCAAAGGATCATATGGATGCTAATGTATCTGTGCGTGATAGTAGAGATACTATACCAGGCATGGCCAAAGTTGGCCCACCAGCTGTTTTGGGACTATAGTTCCCATCATCCCTGACCACTGGTCCTGTTAGCTAGGGATGATGGGAGTTGTAGTCCCAAAACAGCTGGAGGGCCAAGTTTGGCCATGCCTGGACTATACGGAACCCCTTTCCACTTGCTTGAGTTGGCCGAATCCCTTTCAGTTTGCTTTCTAGCCCTTTTCCTGTAGAGCAGGCATCCCCAAACTCGGTCCTCCAGCTGCTTTGGGACTACAATTCCCATCATCCCTGACCACTGGTCCTGTTAGCTAGGGATAATGGGAGTTGTAGTCTTAAAACAGCTGGAAGGCTGAGTTTGGGGATGCCTGCTGTAGAGGGTATAGTGCACTGATATACTGTACTGTATTATCCCAAATGTGGGGTGACTGCTGTTTCTATGCACCTGCAATGGCAGAGCCAATTCCTGATGCAGTGTGCCTACTATCTCCCACAGAGCTCTCTTGGACCAAGTGGACCACTGGCAGAGCTTCCTAGCACTGGTTAACATGATCATGTTCTGCACTGGGATCCCAGGACACTATCCTGTCAATGAGACCACGAGTTCACTTACACTCACTTTCTGGTATACACTTCAGGTAAGTGTTAGCCACCTTCATGAAGTGGACTTCTTCAGTGCCATCTTTATAGGTTTGTTCTCTGGCTTGTACTTTGGTTGGTGCCAGGCATGTGCTTGTACTAGCGGTTCTGCATGCCTCTACATGAAAAAGTTGGCAAGGCTAATAGCTAGCACATTAAAGTTGTTTATGACGATTACACTAATTGTTCTGCATATGCAAGCACTTGTATAGATATTGGCTCTGGATTGAGTATAATGGAATGTTCTGGAATTGTCCACTAGAAGCTCTGAGGCCAAACTTGATGTATGCTCTGTGCTTAATGGAGTGGAAATTCTTGCATTCTTGCATGCATATATTGAAGGCCAGAGTGAGTGACAAGGATGTATAGTAATTCTGCTCACTGTATAAACATGGTGTTTAAACATAGTTGTGTTCCAGTAATATGTTCTGTGGCAACAGAGAAGATGCTCAGATATACCTGTGAGCCTTAAACTCCTTTTAGGTCCTGCAGGTATTTATTTGCAGCTCAGACTCCACCTTCTTCAAGAAGTGTGTAAACTAAACACTTCATTACATGAATCAAATTATTCGCTATGAGGTAGATTTATCATCTTCCTCTCTTTCTGCTAGAGAACAACTTGACTGTGAGTACCCTGTTTTGACAGGAAGAGAGCTCCATTTAGTTTGCTGTCTAGTGGTGGCAAGGTGTTTCTTTACTAGAGTAACCCATAGTGCATCAGTGGCCTTATTGGAAGAGCCTTACAGATAATAGCTCTTTTCAGCTATGGAAGAAGACCAAGTTTGTTCTCTGTCTTGACAGGCAAAGTGCTGCTATTCCCAGTTCCAAGCACAATTAATGCAGATGCAGATTTGTCTGTTGTGGTGTATGCGTGCTGCTATGCTGAGACACAGTCCTCGAAGCAGTGCAGCCTGGTCTGACTTGCCCTCCCCATCCCCACACTTCCTTGGAGCCCAGAAGCTTCATTAGCATGGCAAATTAGCCTGACATACTCCTGCACTGCCCAAGAGCAAGGCTAGCTGTTGAGCTGCTGCTTCTCTGGGTGCCAGCTTGAAATGAGATGAGGTCATGCATTGTCTCAGTGTGTGACTGGCGCAGTACTTGAGTCCACAGGCACATCGTTCCTAATGAAGGGAACAAAACTGAAGCAGCATCTTTTATAGGCTGCTCAAGAGCAGAGAGACAGCAGAAGACTTTTTCTGCATGGTCTAATCCACACCTTTGCAGTTTCCCATGGGTTCCCAAAACCTTTGGTAATTTTGTGCCAGACAGCCCAGGATCAGCCTTTTCTATTTCCTTCATAAACTCTGCCAAGTGGAAGAATCTTAAATCAGAGGTTTAGTGAAGCCTCCAGGATTGTATTCACTGACCCAGAATCCCTTCTTACTTTTCTTTTCTATACATCTGTTTTTGTATCAGCCTAGTTTATAAGGTAACCTTGTCCATGCCAGCCTTGAGCAGCATAGGAATACCCAGCTTTCTTCTTGGAGCAGACATTGCTATACTGTAGGGGACAGATTTATTCCTTAACTGGCTAAAACTGTCTCTAAAGGAAAGAACAAGGTGTTGGTCACTAAAAGTAGAAGAAAGCAGACATGGTCAGCTGCTTTACCAGCCTGTGATGGCTTCTGTACTTGTCTAGTTGGTGTCAATGTATTGAGAAGGAATGATACTACAGAGAGAGTGACCTGACAAAATATGTAGAACTGCTCCTAAAAGCTAGGAAGGATCTTTGATGCATTAAGGAGAATATTTGAGTGGAGTAACTTGACTCTAAAATGTCATTTCTGGGTTTCCCATATAGAGATTCAACAGCAATAAGAGGTGATTCCCCCCCACCCCCAATCACATCAGAATGCTTGGGGGACTGATTGTGTTAACATCAACATGATTGCTGGAGTTCAGGGCTGATTTTTACAACCTCCACTTGTTGAATGATCTTTTTCTTTGCAGGATGACATCCTCTCTTTTGATCCAGAAAAGCAGGCCATGTATCAGCAGGTATATCGGCCTGTCTATTTCCAGCTGGTGGATGTGCTTCTGCACAAGGCACAGTTTCCCTCTGATGAAGAGTACAGCTGCTGGTCCTCTGATGAAAAGGAGCAATTTCGGATATACCGGTATGACCTTTTGCCTAATCATATCCCTTAGCATTCAGTTGGTGTGCAGTGCTTATAATCTGCAGAAGAGGAAATTGATCATGCTTCGTTAATGGGAGTAAACATTGAACTTGCCCTGATTTGGCTATGGGCTATAACTGTTTCAGCAATTTAGCTGCTATTTAGTAATGTGGGAGTGTTTTGTAACTCTTTTTTTTCTATTGCTCATTTGCTCATTTCCTCAGAGTGGACATCTCTGACACCTTGATGTATGTGTATGAAATGCTTGGAGCAGAGCTGTTGAGCAGCTTATATGACAAACTAGGTCGCCTCTTGACCAACACAGAGCAGCCATCCTCATGGCAGGTGAGTGGAGAGCTCCACCCTCAAATGGAACACAAGCTAGAGGAATGCAGCAAGCACACAGGCTGAAGATGCTGCAGATTTTTAAGAAAGGATGGTACTAGTCCTTGTTAGACCTGGGGCGAGAGCATTGTGGAAGAGAGGTGCCTAAGGTAAAGTGAAGGTGCAGAGTGTCTTGGTTAGAAGAGCCATCTGTTAAACCTCAGAGCAGTATATGTAGAAGGGCAATCCAAAGTCAAAAACTCCAAAAAGTTGTTAGAATTGTTGAATGGGTCTGAAATGTGCCAACCTCTTCCTTGTAGTGTACATCTGAGTTGGTTACTTATAAAATTGGGACTGAAGGATTGCTTTTATGCCCCAACTTTCAGCTTGCTGATTTGTCTCCTAGTGTTAGACACTGCTGGTGGTTTTTGCAAGCATTCTGGCACACCTCCCATCACTGTGTGGCAGCCACCAAATTATGCAAGATATCTGACAGCAGGAGGCATGCTCAATTATATCTATTTTTCCTTACCATAGGGTTTGTGTTACCACATGTTTTTATATAGTCTACAAGTTAGGTTTCTGTACTGGGAAAATTGAGGAGTGTAGTTGTCCTACTACCTCCAGTGTTACAAAGAAAATCTGCCTTTACAGTTTGCTGAAAGATGCTGAAAGATTCTTAGATATGTCTCCTGTGCCATGATGGGTGGTAATGCCAGGCTAGAGGTCTCTGTGTGGCAGCTAATCAGAATGTATCTGTTCACCTTGGCATGTTGACAGTGTGTTACTGGCACAGCAAACAGTGATGGGCGTCAAGGACCAGTGACCGCAGGGGCTCCTCGTTCATCAATGTGACAGCCAAGCAAAAACCCAGCCTAGCCATGATTTACAGTCCACGCACCTGGAAGCCTTAAGACAGTAGCAAACATACCAGCACTCCAGCATACTAAGTATGCAGCCTCAGCAGTCCATATCTTGCTAGAATAGCCCTTGGTGAGAGGGAACATGGATGCAGGTGTATCCTGCCTCCTCTTGCGGGTGCAGGAAGAGGAGAGACTACACAATGAGCTCATCCACATTTGCCCCGCCCCTTTCCCCCCAGGAAACCCACTTTTTACTGCTGAATCAGAGCAAACGCCAATCGATTTTTCTGCAGATTGGTGTTTGTTCCCATGGAAAGTGGTGAGACAAACAGGACAGGTGGAAAACCTCTTGGACCCATGCTTTCAAGGCATGGGACAAGTGGAAGTGTGGGTGAGCCCTGTGTGTTATATAGCCCAGCGCTTTCAGGATGTCTAGTTGGGGCTGCACTGAAGGATAGCAGGTGCTTTATGTTGCTGGGGAAAGGGGTTCCTTGACCTGAAGAATTGGACTCACTAGATACGATGCCCCTGCAAAAAGCTTACTGGTGAAACAATTATTATTGTGCTACTAAGTGTAAAGGATCAACAACTCATCATAACTTTCTATGGAAGTTAGCCCTGCATATTTTTTGTAAAAATGAAATCTAGGTTGGGGACTTTTTCAACATACTGTGTCTCTGCCTTCATTGCCTTCAAGTTTGATTAAATAAATTTAAAATATTTATATATCACTGTTCATTTGGGTAGTGGTGTTTGAACCACCCTTTGTAAAATTCAGCACCAACGCTGAGTCCATGTTGCAAATCGGATGAAGGGAGGTATATGCATTTAATAAATAAATAAATAACAAATATCTATGTGGGGCATTAGAGTTCGGCCTGGGCTCAAGAATGAAATCTTTTTTCTCTGGCAGCACACAGAAGCTTTGCTTTATGGGTTCCAGTCCATCGCAGAAACAATAGATGTAAACTACTCGGATGTAGTGCCTGGCCTCATTGGGCTCATTCCTCACATCAGCATCAGCAATGTGCAGCTTGCAGATACGGTTATGTTCACTATTGGTAAGAAGACTGGGTATGGGGAGGGAATGGGTGCTGAAAGGGAAGGTTAACCCAAAGAACCTTAGGCTGTTGAGGTCTTACAACACTATGGAACCAGCAGTCCATAGGCTGGATGTGGCCTGTGGGGCCTCTTCATCCAGTCCACAGTACCCTCTCCTTGCCCAAGCCTGTGCTACAATTAGGCTGCAAAAAGCCTTGCATTGTCTCTGCTATGTGTATATGTGTGCCAGCTTTGAGTGTGGCCAAAACAGAATGGGGCAATTTATTTTTTTTACTCCCCCACCAGCATGTAGCTCCCTGAAGGTTGGCAGTGAGGAAATGTGGCCCTTGGACTGAAAAGATCCTAATGCCTGAAATTGGTGTGCATTACAGTAGTCCATGTGGAACTTTCTTGAGATGGTTTGGAAGCTATATCTGGCGGAGAATGTTACAGCCAGTTTTTTGAATGGAGCACCTTGACATGCACATAGTGCACCTGTGCTGAGGGAACTGCACTAGCTGTTTTTTATGATCCTGTTTATGGCTGTATTTTTGTACGTTGCTTAGACCTTTAATGAAGTGGTTTAGTAATGCTTTTAAATAACTAAATACTGATGGGGTGCTTCTTTGCTTTTTGTGGGCTGTACTGATAGCATTTGGCACATTAAACAGAGCAGCTCATGACTCTGCATTTTCTATCTTTCTAGGAGCACTTTCAGAGTGGCTGGCTGACCACCCTGTCATGATCAACAATGTCTTACCCCTGGTGCTACAGGCTCTGGGCAATCCTGAGTTGTCCATCTCTAGTGTCTCAACCCTTAAGAAAATCTGCCGTGAATGCAAGTATGACTTGCCTCCCTATGCTGCCAACATAGTTGCTGTCTCTCAGGTAACTGAAATAATGGTCTAAAGATACATGGTTCTATGAGAACATGGAAGTTTAAGTCACTGACTAGTTTTGAGCAGAGATTATTCAACAGGGCTTAGAGCAGTAGGAACATTCTGAGGAGGATATCTACGTGTGTATGTGAGATTTAGTGGAGTAAATATTTATTGCACATTGTCAGAATGGGAATTCTGACTGCATCTATCAGTTAAAATAACTTGAACCTTATCAGTTTGAAGATATGTGTTCATCTGTTTTGGCAGCTGGCAAGGTGGATTGACTTTGAGCTACTTCTGCAGTGGAAATTTGGTCAAGATTCAGCTCAGCTTTCTGCTAAACTAAATGCAGTCTTTGGTTTCCCCTTCACATTTCCTTCTAGAAGAGGAAAAATTATGCTTGCAGGGTGTGTGGAGGAAGCAGAACTGTTGACCCTTGCTGCTGACATTATGGAGCTTGGGAGACAAGCTGTATGAAACCACTGCCTATAATGAATCACTGATGACTACTTATCCATTATGAAGCATCCTTGAGAAGGGTTGGCTTTCACTGTAGGAGGGAGAGGGTGCTTATTGATTATTTATTCAGATATTTATAAGCTGCATTTTAAGATCAAGCCCTCACCGGTATGTAAAAAGATTGATGCAAGATGACAATAGGTACATCAGACAGGTGTACAACTACTATGAGAAAGCTGCTCTGAATCATACAAGTCTTTAACACTCTTCAGGAAAAGCAGTAGAGAGCTTTTCAAGGCCCTCTTAAAAGCATGTATGGAAGGGGCCAAGCTTAAGTTAATCAGAAGGGAGTTAGCCTTCTCTTGCTTATCCACTTGAAATGTCACAGCGCCCATGCTCCAGATCAGTGTTTGTCTCCCAGAGTTGTCAGTTGATATTGTGGTTGGAGCATTGATAAACGTTTCTGCTGTGGGGCGAGTACTCACTTTCTCACATCTTTCCTTCTGTAGGATGTGCTAATGAAGCAGATTCACAAGGTAAGATACTTATACTCCTCCCTGGTGCAGAGGGTCAAAGAGTGTACAGAATATATGGTTACCTATCAGGTTATTATTTCCGAAGTATTGAGCATTCCAGTCAATGAGAGGAGGATTAGAGGGATTGGTGAAATTGCATGCATGTCTCCCAAACAGAGTTTTGATCAGGAGTGGGGAATCTGTGACCCTCCAGAAGTTGCTGGCCATTGGCTTTGCAGGCAAGAACTGTTGGGACTTGGAATCCAAAAGCATCTGTAGAGTCACACATTTTTCTTTCCTGGTTTAGATAGACATCCGTTATGTTTCCAGGCATTCCAAAGCTGCATGAAAGAGTCTTATTTGTGTTTATCTGTGACTCAGGGCTCTGACAATGGCTATTTTGGTGCTAAGTTCTGGCACTAAACACAGGTTTCTGTGTTGAGACTTCCAGAAGGCATAGCTAAGACTTAAGCATTAGAGTTGACGAAAAATAGACGGAGAATAAACTCCAACTGAGATGTAGTGTAGCATGACTTTCTGAGGATAATAGGAGAAACTAAGAATGTTGTCCATCTTGTTCTGCCCCCAGACAAGTCAGTGCATGTGGCTGATGCAAGCTCTGGGCTTCTTGCTGTCTGCCCTCCAAGTGGAGGAGATTTTGAAGAATCTGCACTCACTGATTACTCCTTACATCCAGCAGCTGGAGAAGCTGGCTGATGAAACGGTGAGCTACTCCCCTTTCTTGGTGGTGGCTGTTTGCCAACCTTCTTTTAAGAAAGAATAGAGCCTGTTGTGTGTAAAACTCTACTCTTCTTGTTGCAAGTTGTGCCTTGTTTTAACCATACCTCCCTGGTCTTGCAAGCCTCTCATTTCTTATCTCTGTCCTCTGGTTTTTAAATTCCTTCCCCCTGCCCTGTTTTCCATTATGCTTCTGAAGTCAAGAACGGAGTGGGTGAGAATTGGCTGGGGTGGGGGGTAATCAATCACTAGACTATGCTTCACAGTTGTGCTGTCCATTCTTGCTGCCAGTCTGGGACATCTGATGTGAGTGGCCCATATCCTGGATCTACTGTAACTGCTATAGTGATGCCTTGCCTTGCAGCCAAACCCCTCCAACAAGTTGGCCATCATCCACATCCTGGGCTTGCTCTCCAACCTCTTCACCACATTGGACATCAGTCATCATGATGATGATCATGAGAGCTCAGAGGTCAAGAAGCTGCCGGTGCCTCAGGGCCCCAATCCGGTGGGTGTTACATGTGTCTGAGTAGTTCTTTTTATACATTAGGGCATACAACTCCATGTTTATTTGGCTGTGCCTCTTCCCTGCCATGTAACTGTAGGCAGCTTCTTCTAACTCTTGATGGGCAGTAGCATAGAATGGTTGAAGGGTTGTGAAAATAGGTGGTGTACAACATAGCACTGTGTGTGTGTGTGTGTGTTACTTTAACTATTGGAATGAGCCCGCGTAGATTAGCCACTTCATCACTGCAGATTGTGAGCTGTTTGACGTGACTACTGAGTGATCAGAAGAGAGCTCAGAATGTCCCTTCAATTGTGTATATTTTCTTTGTGTTCACTTTTAAAAAGAAGTGAGGGCAGCTACACATCTGGTATTGTGAGACTTTTGAAAACTACTCTGGCATAATATGAGTTGTGGAGCAATCTCTAGAGAGGCCTCTAATACCATCTTTTCATCCCTGGATCTGAATGGCTTTGAGCTCTCTCCTCCTCCTCAAACTGTGGTAGACCAAGCCAGTTTCGTAATTCTCTTCTATCTTCTTCCTCTAGGTGGTGATGGTGCTGCAGCAAGTCTTCCAGCTTATCCAGAAAGTGCTCAGCAAGTGGCTGAATGATGCCCAGGTTGTGGAGGTAATGCATCTTCTAGGTTAAAAAACAAGCAACACTTTGCCCACATAGCTATAGTTAGGAGATTCCCAGGTTGGCACTGGTGGTTGTTGGCAGAACTTGAAGAAGGTATGTTTGTGATGTTGGATAAGTCTCTCTTTTCAGTTGATTCCCACATTCTGTTCAATTTGGTATTCTACTTTTAGGCTTAGGAGTTTGGCCGACCACGCCAAACTTACCTCACAGAACTGAATTGGAGGTGGGTGGAGGAAACTATATATGGCACCTCAGGCTTCTTTGAGGAAAGGTGAAGTACAGAATCAGTAGATATTTAGCTAAGGAACAAGTTATTTAACCAGTCCTCCCTTGATGCAGCCCTTCCTCTTCCCACAGTCTGTGTGCTCCATTTTTGAAAAGTCTGTGAAGACCCTCCTGGATGACTTTGCACCCATGGTGCCTCAACTGTGTGAGATGCTGGGCCAGATGTATAGCACCATTCCTCAGGCATCTGCAATTGATCTCACTCGACAGGTAAGTCTAAGTACTAGAATTCTGTAAGCTACTAAGTTTACAATGGAGGCTGATAATCTGTTGAGTAATTCCTACCCTCTGTACTGTTCCTATGCCATCTGGTCTCTGTCTCCTTTGTTGTGTTAGCAGCAAGGGTCTTGTTGATGTTTTCAGGCAGAGAACAGGCAGGTAGACTTACACGGGGGATAGCTAGGGGCTACAAATATGGGATGGAATGGGTCATACCAGACTGCTCTGGCTTCAATGCCCTTTGTATTTTATATCCCCAGCTGGTTCACATCTTTGCCCATGAGCCTGCCCATTTCCCACCTATCAAGGCGCTCTTTCTGCTCGTCACATCAGTTACGCTAACACTGTTTCAGCAAGGTACGTGTGCTTGGGCACCTTCAGTCTTGTGAGGCTGCCACGTTGAAAACTGCTGTTCCTGGTTTCAGCTGTTCAGACTCGACTATAAGGTGTGTGCAGGTGGGGGGAGGGAACACCTTCCTCAGGTCATGGCCATGCTCGTTCAGTTCCAAAAGCTTTTAGCTGGTACAGATGAAGATGAAAAGCTCTTGCTGAGGTGGACTCTCTGGCATGCTTCTCCTCAGGTATCAGTGCCTGAGTGGACAGTAGTGCTGCCATTTCCCCCTCTTCTCCTGTCCTTCATGACTGGAAATGTGCCCTCCCCGTGTCAGATTCCAGGGTTAGAGCCCCAAGAGGAAGATGAATTGAACAGTCGGCTCTGAGTAGAAAGCAAGAATCACTCAGGAGTGTGTTGTAATGTCTTTCAGTTAACCCCATCACTGCTCTTTATGGAGTCGACCATATTCATCAGGGGGTTTTTCCCCCGTGGCCTAAATAAAACATTTGTCATGTGGACTCTGTATCCTATCTCCCTGGTTCTCCAGCTCAAAGGATTCCTTTTACAGCTTTGTGAAATTCCCAGCAAGTGTTTGGACTTGCCTTTGCATGGAACTGCCATATTGACTCCATTTTGACCCCAGCTGAGATGAAAAGCTTGGAATACATGTACAGATCCAGTCAGCATGGTTGGTGGGGTATCTGCTTCCTTCTCCAGGTCCTTGTTTGAACTCAGAATTGATGGGGAGCAACTAGTGCTTGGAGTGATGCCCTGTTACTGCCTGACTGGGTCAGGCATAGCCAACATGGAGGAAGAGAATTCTCAGATCCAGGAAAGCTTATGTGATAATAAATTTGCTAAATTTATAATGCCACAAGGCTTTCTCTTTTGTGGAATGGAAGTATGCTTACCAGCAACCACGCTGGCCTTTCCCTGCAGAAAATGCCAGAAAGTTGGGTTCTTCCCAACTAGGTAGGCATGTGGACATGGATGTTAGGAAAATACTGTGCTGGGACTGTCCATCCAGCACTCTAGTGGATTTCCAAGACTTTGTGCCTACTCCATGTCAATACTGGATTTGTTGTTTGACTCTGGAGTTGTCTTTCAGGACCAAGTAAATCATGATAACATGTATCCAGTTCAAATGTGCTCGTTCTCCACATGAAGCTGGTGTCCAGTTAGCTCCTGCTTCTCTCTTCCCCTGCTAGGGTGCAATGAGCTCTCCCCTTCCTATCCTTGGTGCTTGGCAGGGGACTCTGGGCACAGGCCTATTCCTTTGCACTTTCTTTCTGTTCTTGGGTTTCCAAGCTCCATGATTTTTGTATGTTTTGTTTCTTTAACTTGCTTCAAGCTGCTCATGTGCCTGCCCTCCTCAACCCACCCCCTTGCACCCTCCCCTTCCTTCCCTTACTCCTGTTTTCACTTGTAAATTCTTTCTGTATCACATAACTATATGATGTTGAGTTGCTGTTTGTATGATTTTTCTCTTCAGTTACATCTTTATTATATTTTTAGGGCCCAGGGATCATCCTGATATTGTTGATTCATTTATGCAACTCCTGGCACAGGTGTGTTTTAGTTTCTTATTCATTCACTTTCTGTTCTCTCTCTTTCTCTTTTTTAATTCAATTTAAACCTATTTTTAGCTTTCTGTTGACAACGTTTTTCCTTTTAGTTGAATATCGAGTTTCTCCATCTGTTTCCGTGGAAGTTGAAAACAAAACATTCTCCTTTTTCATAGGTGTGAGTTTGCCCTTTTCATTCCCCAAGGGGCAATACCTAGTGATGCAACAAGGCTTGTAGGTTGGGTTTGTTTTCAGGTCATGTGGTGTGGCCTTGCCCAGGAGGGGGCTGCTGAAAAATGTTAATGTAGTTCAAGAGCTCTGGCAGCAGCATTCCAGTCCTGGTATAGATCTGCGTGCTTTTCTGAAGTGACTCTGACTTCTTTACAAATGCTGGCAAGTCCATAGTTTCTGTTTATTAGGTAGGAGTGATGTATTCAGTAACTTGGTGGATCTGGGAGGGGCAGCTGATCTAATGGGCAAGGATAGCAGATGAGCCTTGCCTCCCGTGTTTGACCCCAAAACCCTTCTGCACTCCAGCATTTCTGCCAAGGCTTCCTGTGTCTGGTGTTTTGTCCCCCCCCCCCCAGATTGTGCATCTTCCATAGAGCTCTGTCTCTAATGCTGTAATGACATCATGCACAGGGCAGGGCAAAGCAGTGGTGGTGGAATACAAAGCAGAGGCTGGTGGGTATCATTCCCTGGAGTAAGTGAAGGATGAAGCACCCCCAGCAAGTGGATTAGAATGAGCAATCCCTGATGGAGCAGAATGGGGTGGGATCTTATATATTGATCTCCTGACTGTAATAAGATGCTCTCTCGTTGGCTCTGGTTTATTGTTGCCTAATGGGGTTTCTGTATACTGTGATGGGGGAAGTGTCTGAGTGCTTAGCTCCCCCTTGTGGCAGTTAATACAGATGCAAATATGGGAGGCAATGTTGCTAATAGGTAAAGGTAAAGGGACCCCTGACCATCAGCTAATACGTTACTGTAAATCTCGCACTTCTCTTCAGTAACACAGTAATGAACTTCCAGAAAATTCTGAAATTTGACAACAGCAAATCGCAAAATTAAAATGCCACCCTTTAGAGTTCTTATTCTTGTTTTGTCATCATGTTAAGGAGATGTCAGCTATCAGTGTACAGTTAAATATCAAATACTGAGATCAGTTATAATTTTATATTTGGAGCCCTATGGTGGATCCATGTTCTCAGGAAAGGGTTGGAACAATCTCATCCTAGGAGGGGGATAGGGAGTAGCTTTAGCCAGATGAAGGAAAAGGCAGTTGGAATGGGAGATGTGAAGAGAGGGGACTAGGAGAAGCCCCTGGGGCATCCAGACACAGTTGAAAGCCCCACAGTAGCTCATGCGGTTCGACATGGAACAACTTGGGACCCCAGATCTTCTGACCGACTGCATCCAGATAAGACCTAATCACCAGCCAATATTCATCCTGAAGAGTTAAAAAATGCAGCACTGTGTCTGGGACAGTGGGTGTCATAGTTTGGCCCATGCTGGAAATTAAAGCAGTAGTGTTTCAGTGGACTCAAAACAATGCTATTAATACTTTTTTATATTGTATGTCTTCCTCTCTTGCGCACACACACACACACACACACACACTTTCCTCCCTTGGTTGAATAAATATTGTTTGTTTGCCTCCATATACTTTGAGAGAAGCTCAAATTAGAAGTTGCCTGGGTTTGGGCTGATTTAGCTACTAGTGCCCAGTATGTTTTGTTCACCACTTCTTTTGGAGATGTGAAAGCTGGTGGTCTGGAGACACTGCACCCTGCATCTTGGGGTCACTGGCGTTCTCATTGTCTCTTATTCTACTTCATCTGTGAGCCTAAGTCCCATTGCACTTTTGCTATCTCTCAGCATTCACATTAAAACTTAACACACACCCCAAAAGAGGAGAGAGAGGCAGCTGATATACTGGTTCTTCCCCATATTGTCATAAGCACTTTCATTCATTCTTTGAGTAAAAAATAAAATACTACCTCCTGGTCTGCCAGTCCCACAAAACAGCTTACAATAAGATACAATAAAATTCTGAAGCAATATTTGAAACACTTGTAACTAAAAGATTAATTACAGTAGTCCAGCATTTGAAACTCTTCATCTTCCAACTGCCTTGCTAAAAAGATGTTTGGGCCATGCACCAAAATGCATCTTAGCAGACTCTCTAGAGAGATACTTCCAAGGGCAGGCTGCCATCACCCAAAGAGTCATGCTCTTTGTGGCTACCAGCCTACATACACCTGTAGTACTTGGAGCAAGAACTCAACTAAAACAAAAGAGGCAGAGTGGATTCATATGGGAGAATATGACCCTTGAAGTAACATGGTTCCAAACTACGCATGGTTCTGGATTCTGTATGAGGCAAGGAGGACTGGGTTGCATATGAAAGTGCAACTTCTGCAGTCTGCCAGTTTCCTATAATTTGCTGACAGTGTCTCATTGGCAGAATGTCACCTATTCCCTTCTCTCTTGGAGTAAGCCTAAATTGGCAATGCCCTAGAAGACTTACGTTAACATTTGCTGTTTGTTTAACTTGCCCAACTGGTGGCTCATGTCCAGGCTTGTTCTGTCCCAACAACCAAGTTAAAAGACACTGGATATAGGAATATGTGAGAAATCTGAAATCCGAGGGGAATGTTCTCCCCTCACGCTTAGTGTGGAGACAAATCAGTAGGAAAATTCTTCACAGCATCAGCATCTGGCCTGCACTTCCTTTGAAGCCATCTAGTGAGACTAGAATACAGGCCTAGCAGAAGGGTCAGTTTGCTAAAATGAGAAGACCATTGAGTATGTAACAACACTGCTTGTCCATTCAAGTGGACTGGTACATTGTGAAACATAAATGTTGTGTCTGTGGGCAGAATTATGCAAGAATATATACCATTTTCCTTTCTTTGTTCAAAAATCAAATAATCTTGATTTGCATGTATTGCCCCACTAATGCCTATATTATCCCTAAATCAGAAGACCAGCAGCCTCGGCTTAAATATACATTTGAACTTTCCTGAAATTGTGTGTGTGTACTGCCATGTAGAAGAAAAAAAGTGAAGAGGAAAGGGAGACGCAAAAGAATGATCTTTTGTTGAAACAATTTTAATTGCTTAAAATGTCAGAACACTAGAGTCATCTAGCATAGGTGTTTAGATGAAAATTTTAAATTTGTTCTTAGAGGTCCTAGTTTTAGCGCACCACCATAAGGTTGCTTTGATACAAAGGTAGTTGTTGAGAGAGACAAAGGGTTAGTGTCAAGTCATGAGCATATTGGGAGCTAGCACTGAGTTTCCTTTAACTGGCTGTCATTATGTGGTATATTGGCTAAATTGTTTATTGAAACCTGTATAGGTATTAATATAATTTATTCTGCATGGTTTAATTTGCATCACTTTGGATATGAGCAAATGTTTCAGTAATGGAATACAAAGATGTGTGGGCTCAGACATTTGATTTAATTGGCCTTTTTATCTATTTCTATACTGGTGGCTCACAATGCACTGTGTACTAAGCAAATCTGTTTCCATTTAGTTGGCTGTAACACATTGTGGGAGGAATTCAACATAGCACTATGGCAATCATTCTGTCAAAGCAAGCGCTTCATCTTGCCATATGGAATGATGCCCCTTTCTTCCTCCTGCAGGCTGTTTTGGGGGCCTCCTGGCCCTTCTCCAGCCCATTTGGGTGCAGGGAGAGGAAAGAGGGGAAGCCCCATTGCTCTAGTTCCGCTAGTGGGGCTCATTAGTTGAAACTGGCCCTCAATATGTAAAACAGTACTTGGAGGGATGCAAACAAACAAAACATTCTTTACTAGGGTGATGGAATAAAAATCATTTTTAAAACTTTAGAGTATTAGCAATATTCCGTAGCAGTTTTAACAGTAGCATTTGCAATACAAGAACCATTGAAAACCCTGCAGATTAGCACCAAGCAGATATTTACCATTGCATGACAGAAAAGGACATAACATTGGATCATAGGAAGATGCCTTACACCAGGTCAAACCATTGGTCCATCTAGCTCAGTATTGTCTACACTGATTGGTAGTGGCTCTAACAGGTTTCAGGCAGGGGACATCCCCAGCCCTACCTGCAGATGTCGGAAATTGTACCTGAGAGCTTCAGTGTGCAAGGCAGATGCTCTGCCACTGAATTACAGCCCTTCCCGTAACTCTCTTTGTTCCTTCCACCTGGGTGATGAACAAGTGGACAATCAAGGCATGTAGAGTGGAAACTGAGAATACAAAGCTTTGGAAGCTAGTCATTGCAGTGATTGGTATCCAGTTGCAGGTACAACAAGCAATACTTCTGCAGCCCCGGAAGATCGTGCTTCATTGACAAAGCACATACTTCACATAGCTATATAGGAGTATAAGTTGTTTAGGGCCCTGTTTGTTAATAGGTCTCACCTTGTTTTGTGAATGCCATGGTGGAGCAGATGTTTAGGTCCTCCAGGAATGGAAGTAACAGTGGGGACTGCTGTCCAAGGTGCTGAAATGGATAGGCTCGCAACATTCTTGCCTGTGCTTGCTGTCTATGGTGCTGAAATAAGCTGCCAGGCAGCAATATTTATATTAAGTCACAAGTAAAATCAGCCTTTTTGTAGTTTAACAGGAATACTGAAACTAGATGAGCCCCCTTTCCTGACGGTGTAGAAAAGAATTCCCACATCTCTAGATTTCTTCATTTGTAGCAAAGTAGGAATCCTAGTAGGTTGTTTCTAGGTAATGTTTCAATTACATGTGTCTTCAGAGGCTCTTAATTACCTGGAGTCCTTGATGCCCTTGACTTCAGAAGTGTCCTACTTATGTTCTTTCCCTTCCTGCCATATCTGACATACTGTGCACCATGGCTGATGGCCAGGTAAGTGCACATGGGGGTCTTGGCCAGGGAGCTATTCTGTGGCACTTTTTTGCCTCTGGCTTGCCAGAGCTGTGTTTATTGTCTGTGTATGTGTGTGTACCTTGCAGGCACTCAAACGGAAACCTGACCTGTTCCTGTGTAGCAGCCTGGATGTCAAAGCAGTATTCCATTGTGGTGAGTAGGCAGGCCCCGTAAGACTAAGCTATCCAAAAATTGAGCTCCCTTGATGCAATTGGGAAAGCTGATATAGCCAAATGAGGCACTGTTTCTTAAAGGTTCAGATATATGACAGCAGCCTGCATGTTTGATGTAGAAACACCCCTCAAATCAGACCAGCTGAAGCTCCATGTAAAGTCCTTGTGCTTGGAGAAGGGAAGGCTCCTTTCCTTCCCCACTCTTGTGGAAAGCTTTGAATTGTGTTAGCTGAGTCCTGAAGTGTTGCTTTCCCTCTAGGTGTGATCTCCTTGAAGTTCCCTGAAGCACCAACTGTCAAAGCTGCCTGTGGCTTTTTTGTGAGTGTTTTGCTTTTGCTAGATCTGCCATTGGCCAATGGTACAGGCAGAGTTGCATTTGGGCCAAGTGGCTTGGAAGCATTTGTGCTGGGACAGGATGGAGAAGCACCCAGAACTGGTGAGAGGGAGCCGCCTCCAAATTCCAGAAGGGAGCTTCTCCTTTCATAAGTTGCCATTTGGGCCTTTTTATTTTCTTTTGCAGTTGGGATTTTTTGTATGGAGGCATTTTCTCCTAACTGTATATGCCTCCACTCTGTTTGGACATGTATACAGGAATGTGCTCGTCTCCCACATGGGACTGGAGACAGATGGCTATATATCTGAGTTATAGCAATACAGTTTGCATCAACTCCTTCTCACTGTTTCTTACAGACTGAGTTATTGCCACGTTGTGGGGAGATTCCACCGGTGGGACAAGTGGTACATGAGAATGGCAAAATGCTGCTGCAGGCTGTGCTTGAGGTAAGGAGTGGAGCTTTTCAAGCTAAGTCAGGAACAATTAGAAGGAATAACTGGAAGGAGCCATGCTCACAGATAAGCTGCACTTATTCCAGTATCTTTTATTAATTCAGCTCCCTTCTATCCAGAATATCCCTGAATGATTTGCAGCCTGATCTAGTATTTAATGTCTTACTTGGAAGCGTGTTCCACTAAGTTCAGTGGTGCTTACTCCCAAGCAAGTGTGCCACCTTGGCCACTTCCTTTTTAAAAACATTTCCTTGATGCAATCTGCTGGAGCCTTCTTAGGTTTGTAATGTAATGTTCCCTCCTGCAGTGCAGTCTCCTGGGAGGATTATTGTCTGGTGTTAACTGGATTTGCTCCATCTGCAGGGTGTAGGTGGCCAGGCTGCACGCAACTTGATGGATCACTTTGCTGAGATCCTCTTTGCTCTCAACAAGCACTGCTTCAGTTACTTGAGTGTCTGGATCAAGGAAGTGATGCAGCAGGATGGTTTTCCATCAGCCCGTGTCAGCCCTGAACAAAAGGAAATCTTCAGCCAGCAAATTCTCAGGTGAAGTTTCTCTTGAAGACTTTTCTGGAAGACTGAGTTGGGGAAGATGTGTGAAGGGGTTTCTTGGCTCTTCAGCTTTCTGTCTATGCCCCCAAATTGTCATGAGTGATCATGATAGATACTGAGCATTTCCCCAGGTTCAACAGTCCTCCCCAGAATCTTCTACAATAAAGAGCTTGCTTATTTTTTTTATTTTTTAGTAAATTAATTAAGATGTTCAGAAAGGTTCAAGGTATTTATATAAAGTAGAGGTAAATAGAAAAGGGTAGCATGGAAACTAAACATGAACTTGAGTTTTTATCCTTGTAGAGACATGCTACCTATCTTGGTGTTGCTTTGGTTTCTCCTTTAAGCCCCTGCTACTCCATGTAAAAACCCATGAATTCACCAGCATTTAATAATTATAACAGGAACATAAGCAGAGCCTGCTGTATCGGGCCATTGGCTTGTTCTGGCAGGCTCTTTTTGTATTCTTATGGCTGGAAGAGTAGGATTCACTAGATTAATCCAGCCACCGAGGAACTGAGATGCATTGGTGAACGATAATTTGCAGAACAGGAACATGAGTTATTTGAAAGAGGATGTCTTAATAGAGGGCAGCAATGATTATAGCAGCTGTGTGGAGCACGTCTGCAGTGCCCAGCTCTCAGTGCTGGGGATTCCATGGGTTTGGCACTGGGTGGTGCCCTTGTGTATGGGAACATCCGACTCAGCTCTAGCTGGTTTTTTAAGTGATTTATTCACCATTCTTATATATCAGCCTTTCATCATTCTTTTTCTGTGTTAGCAGAGAGCGTGTGAACAAACGGCGTGTGAAGGAGATGGTAAAGGAGTTCACGCTGCTGTGCCGAGGACTGCATGGTACCGAATACACAGCAGACTACTGAGGGGCCATATAGCAAAACAGGAGCATGAACAGATCTGCTGGCTACCTGCCACTGCCTAACGCTGCTATTGAACCAGCTCATAGGACGATAACTGCAACTAACCTGCTGAGGCTGCTCCTCTCAAGAATGAGCTGTTTGTCCATCCCTCCTGCATGTTCAGAGGCAGCAGGCTACAAGGACTTGGAGCACAGGCTGGAGCTGAGGATATTTCCTCCCCCTGCTAGACTGGTGCAATGATTGCCCCTTGTTTTCCCGGCACACTCCTGTAGACATATCTGTGGTATTGTCTGTTCCTAAAGAGTCTGCCTTTGCCCTGCATGAGGCAGCTTGTGTCTGACTGAAGTGGAAGGCCCTGCAGCCTTGAATTATATTAAGGCTATTTCTAAGCTGTGGTGTTTGGTGAATTGGGGGAAGAGACGTAACTTCTGGACAATATTGGGCAGGGGAGGGTAAAAAGCTGTAGCAGTTGCAGTTGCACTTATAGCTGCCCTAGCCTAACGGGTAATAAAGAAGAGTATGATGTCGTTTTGGACAAAGAAGAAATCCAAATTCTGCAACAAAGTATTGGAAAGAATCAAAGTTAGCTTCTCAGAAGGAAGCATACCTGCCAGCCTTTGCATTTCTTGGTTTGCTGGCAAAGTTGCATAACCAGTTCAAATTTTCTTTTTGCAGGTAACAATCTATAGGAGCATCCTGTGGAAGGCATATTATCATACTAGCCTGTAATATGAATGATAGTTTCTAGGTTCATTTAAAAGGGTTGCAGCCACCTTTACGCGCTCTGATGAAAAATGTCCCTGGTTGCTTCTGCAGCTGAAGATCAAGATGTGACAATGGATCTGAGGGTGTGCTACTGTTTATGGTGGAAGGATGGAAGAGGAGCAAATCATTTTCATATGGGGGACTGTTGGTATTGCAGGTTTGGAGACTAACCAGGTTGAGCAAATGTGCAATTCAGAATGACTCCAGGGCCAGTTTCAGTCTCCCCATACAACACGAGTAGGTTCCTAACTTGGGACTTGCTGTAATGTTTCCTATCCCTCGGTAGCGAAGCTCAGTTTACATAAAAGCAGGTTGGGATGGCTTGAACCTTAGTCAATCCTTTCTATTTAACAAGAGCTTACCAAAGTAACAATTGAACCATCTAAATAACAATAGCAGATACCAGTGTGGTAAGTACTGGAGCAGTTCTCAAACACATTTGCAGGCTCCATTGAGGTGGTTTGTGGAGTGGTCAAAAGTATCTGTACTTGGCCCTGCACTTTATATTTTCTGATGATGGAGATGGACTTCACAGAACGTTGCTCACAAAAAAACAGGCATATCCATCGCATTAGAAATAAAAGACTGCAGTTATTTAGAGTATGAGTTATAAAACAAAAAAGTAGCTGGCTGAGCCCTGCACCATCCACAGCATTTTCCAAGTGGTCCATGGAAAAAGTGGTTTGAGAACTGCTGTACTAGAGGTTTATGTAGACATCAGCTGGAGCTTCTGCATTTCCAAGGCAAAACATGTTCTTGGGGAAGAATATGCTTATGGGACAACAGAAGCTGAAACAAAATCGGGCATCTTAAGTAAATGCAAAAAGTAGCATACTGACAATGCACTGTTCTAGGTCAAGTCTTGAAAAGTGAATAGGGTATACCGTATTTTTTTCCAAGTAAGGGTTGTTCCAGTTCAGGCAGATGAAGTACTTTGAATCTGGAAACAAGATAAGCATTTTGTGTAATCTTGGCTCGTTAAGTAACTGGTTAAAAAAGTCAAATTACATCAGAAATCTTCACATCAAATGTGGACTTAATGTTTAACTAATCAGTGCAACCAAGTAGTTTATGTGTTTTGATCAGAAATTGGAGTAGTGATCTGTAATTAAGTAATCTATAAGGTGGCTTGGTGGCTTATCTTGAATAGCTATGAAACCTTCACAATGCACATGGAAAGAACAAAGTATAGTTGGCTATATTAGGGAAAAAGCAGTACTCTGGTATTTCTATAGCAGTGGCCATGATTACACCCCGGTAAAGAGAAGTATCTACATTAATGCACAAAACAAGCAGTACTTGGCAGAGAATCTGCCTTCTAGGTTTGGGCATGTGGTACATTGCTGCACCTTCTCTCTTTCCGCTGATTTCAGTGTTTCTGTTTGGTGTTCTTTGCACTGAAACATTCCTTTAAAAAGTAGCATTTTGAGGCTGTGTGCTATACCTTTCAGTTATTTATTTGAAGCTCTTACTTCCATGCTGCTTATCTAAGCACTCCATACTTTGCCTTATTAGGAAAGGTATTGATCACTGGTGTGGTCATGGGCTGCTACAGGGCTTAGCGTATGATGTTGCTGCTTTCCGGATCCTGATACCTATGCAACTGTTGCCCAGGACCTTGACTGATGAGCTTGCATTGCACACAGCACTTGACCCATGTCTTCGTAGGTGGTATAAGTAGAATAGAAGGTACAAGCAAGAGACTGTAAGAGGCCATGGAACTGAATCTTACTTTGCAGCATGGAGCAAAAAGCAACATAATCATTACTAGCTTGTGCAAAAGACTGCCTGTTATACCTTTCTTGTGCTTTTTTTTTGTCTGGTATGGCATGGCAGTTGGAGAATGGAATGTGGAGGTGATGTTCTGAAAATAATGTTCAGAGGAAACAAACTTACGGAGATTAGGAGCAGTGCTAATGTCTAAACACGGCTTCTCCACAGTTATGCTGCATTTTGTAGTATGGCTTATGGAGTTGCATACTTCCTTGGTTATTAAGTATTCTTGTTTGCCCTACTCTTGTCTATCTTAGCCTTTCTGTCTATAACTCTTAAGCTATTGCTATGCGGTGGTCTCTATCTTCACTTTTTGGACCATGTGTGAAGGGTAGAGGTGTGTGACTTCTCTACATAACGAGTGGCTGTGTAAAACAGGTATAGCCAATGTGGTGCCCTCCTAATTATGATGGGCTACCATTACACCTAATGGCTATGGTGGCTGGGGCTTGTGGGAATTGTAGTTCAACAACATCTGAAAGGCCAATGGTTAGCCACCCTGGTGTAAAATAACTCACCTTGGCCTGCTACAGGATGCCCCTCTCACTTCAGCAAACTATTATAACAGCAGCAGAAGGTGAGCAGGAGACCAGGAAAGCAGCTATGACATGGTGTAAGAAATATGAAAGCTAGGAGCTAAATGGCACCTTAAATTTAGGGTATGGGCACAACAATGGAATGTCTAGGCACACTTTTTTGTAACAAGAATGCAAAGCTGAAAATGAATGAACAGCTAAAATATTATGTTCATTTTTCACATGGTTTAGTCCTTCCACTGCCCACCCCACTAATATTCTTGAGGGTCTCTTCTCCAGTCTTCAGAGAGTATCTGGAAGTGAAGAGGCAGGAAATGGTCCTTTCCTTCCACTCTGCAGTTTTAATCTGAAATTTTAGGCGCAGTACTGCACCCAGAGCTCAGAAGCTACTTGCGCTAATGGAATTCCCTGTCGAAAATGTGCCTAGAACAATGGAAGTTTAGAACACTGGGTATATACTTCTCTGTACTACCCTGTGCTATTTTATGCTGTGCTCATTTCTGGAGGTTCCCATTCTACCAGTTACTATCTCTCCCACTCCCATGACTTTTCTTTTTTGCTGGTATGTATCACAAGCCCCCACCCCAGGGATCATACATACGCAGCCAGAAACTAAGAGCATTGGCCAGATGGGCTGTAACGTGCATAGCATACAGTGGCCCTCCTATTATCTGATAAACAATTATGAAGTTGATTTGGGTGTATTAATGCTTCAGAAAAGTTGCCCAAATAAGGAGAAAGGAAGGATGCCAATGGATTTAAAATAGAACTTTATTTGGCATAGCAAGGTCTACAAGTAGTGTTTAAAAATGGTTTTTTATTGGCAAATTATTCTAAGTCTTAAAAATGTTACTAGCTTTAACTGAAGTAGGTTCTTGACTTAAGGGATGTATATATCCCTTACCTGGTACATCTTGTACCTTGTGCTCAATGCTGTTTTGATTCCTGATTGGATGGCAGATGTTTACACAACACAGTGCCAACTGTGTTATATTTTTCTTCTCTATTAGGATATGGAATGATGTTTCTCCTTTCTGTTTGATAGGCATGTTCAACAGAAATAACTTTGAGCATTATATTGGATGGTACACATCTAAGGATGTCAGTGACTTATGCTTGTGGGTTGGAAATGACGAGTGGATAAACATACCCTATCCTGCTACTGGGAGGAAAGATGCTAGTACACAACTCTTTCTCTAACACAGATCAACAGCCACCCCTTTCTTCAGTCTGTGCTTTTAAACTCCAAAGAGCTGCAAAATATGTAACCTCCACCTGAGCAGACAATGCATATTTTGTAGGAGCATAACTGTATGGAGAACTATAGGACTCCATTTCTACTTGTTTCTATAGGATGCCATTGCCTCTCATGTTCTTGTGTGCTTCCCATAGGTGTAGGTATGTGGTTGCCCACTGTGGGAAACAGGATCCTAGACAAGTTGGGCCTTTGGTTTAATGCAGCAAGGTTGTTCTTATTTATTTACTACATTTGTATCCTGCCTTTCCTCCAAAGAGATATCAAGGAGATATATATACTTCTCCCCATTTTACCTTCAACCCACCTTACAGGGTTGTAGTGAGTTGAGTGGCCCAAGATCACCCAGTGAGCTTCATGGCTGAGTGGGCATATGAACCCTCGTCTCCAAAGTCCTGTTCAGCACTCTACCCACTATACTGGCTCTTTATCATAGGATTCTTATACCCCAGCTATTCAAAGCCTGGTTCTTGCTTCTGAGTCCCAAAATTCAATTCCTCATGCTATCAGCAAATCTAACTCCTCGAGGATACAAAATCCTAGCCTCAATAGGAAAACTTTTCTCGACTTCTAGTTACGCCTTTAACACTGGGTGGTGTGGATTAGCTCAAGGTTCAACCAGAGTATAGAAACCTGCACTCCCTCCTCAATCACACTCTTACCTGCTTTTCCCCATGTATGAGAATATGGCAGAGGTTGAGCCTGGGCATGTAGGGGCACGATTGGCTTCCAAGATTGCCCTAAGTTATAGCTAACTATAACTTCCACTTGCCAGTGGAAGCTGGATAAATGGGGATCTGTGATTAATTTCACATGTGAATTAAGCTGCAATGCTACACACCCCTGTTACCCCAACAGAACCCCAAGTCTACTGTGCTGTCACTCTTAGCCCAGGGCTGCTTTATGTGCACAGATAAACACCAGCACAATTGAGAGCACAGTGAGAAGAATAGGTTTACTTAGCTTCTTAACATAAAAAACACCAATTGGCAGAACTACTGTACTGTCAGTTAAAATGTTGATCTGTCCATCCACCAAGAGGAATGTCCAGGCCAGGGAAAGTGATATTCCTTGCCTTATACATGTGTCTAGTTGTGGGTAGGAGGAAGAAGGTTGTGATAAAAACCATGTTTGGTTATCTAGATGCAGAAAGGGAAGGCAACTTTTTCTCAGCATGGCCCAGCTGGTACTGTCATCCAGAAGGCTCATCTTCATATGCAATGGCAATCCCCCGTCGTCCAGCCACAGCTTTTGTGACTGCTGACTGCCCCAGCTGCTGCTCCAGCCCCCGCCAGCTTCGTGACTCCAAAAATGAGGCTAAGACCAAAACAACAACAACAATCAAACAAGAACAATGATCATGGCATAAATGATTTCCCCAAGCTGAATTCCAGACACCACTCTGGAAGAGAACAGAGCTTACAGTATATTCAAGATTATGGATGAAAGACCCCACGGGGCCCACTGCCCCACTCATTACTGCAACTGTAAATGGAGGAAGGCGACTAGGCTGCTAATTGCTATTCTGACACTAGCATAAACCTTTGAAACATTCACCACATAACAGACTTCAAAACAGCCATTTTCATCTCCCAGGAACAACCATTAGTCACAAGAAAGGTCCTAAGAGATGAGATTTGCCACCATTTGTGTGGACCGTTAACATAATCCATTCCCGACCCCTCGGACACATACCTGCTGGGCTACTCTCAGCCATATGCATATAGCTGCGGCAGGTCACAGAAGTGCCAGAGCTTGGCTCT